TGTGTATCACAGAAATAGATGAACACAATTTCAGCATCTGTCTGCCCAGGGCCGCTGTGGCTACAATAGTAGTTTACCACTGCCGAGTGTGGAATGAATGAATAATGCACTGTAAAGCGCTTTGGGTGTCACGAAAGGCGCTATATAAATGCAATGACTGATTGATTGACAATTTGATGGACAAAATTGAACTAAAAATAAAAATTTGCCATATATTTTGTGAAAAATTTACAGCTATTGCATAAAGTACAGCTTAGTAGCATTTTACATTATAGGCCCAAACTTCATTCGCAATCAACCAGACGTTTACAGAAACTTTAAAAAGATTATTTGTAGTGCATTACAAGAGTGTGACTGAGTAGAATTCCCTATCAAGTGTGAAGACATGCTAAAAATACCAAGAACATACAGAGAGCGGCGTGGTGGTGGCAGCAGCAGGTTGTGAGTGAGCAGGGCTTTCAGATGGATGTGAGGCCAGGGCACAGTGCTACCTCTGTGCATCTCACCGGACCATGTTGCAGAATGACTAGGCTATGTTGCTGCCGTGACAAAGATAAATTACCGCCACTGAAAAACATTTCTACATTTTTTTTTTTTAACACACGGCGCACACTCTCTCTCTCCTTTTCCTTGACTTGCTTTTTTGGGCCACTGGGTGTAGTCCAAATGTGCCACACCAAAGAGACGTAAAAGGGGAGGTGAGGAGAGGGGTTTTCTGAAAAGATATATTAAGATGAAGTAGTTCTCCAACACGTGTCTTTTATGACTGTATATATGCCTATACTGTATACTGTTACCCTCAAGTGACCCCAGGAATGAAATTAAAATTGATTTGAAACTATTTTATATGAAATGCTACGCAGAAGTTTTAGTTACGTGTGAAGATTAAATTTGAACTGTTAAATCCTGAAATTTTAATAAAGATTTTACAACAATTAAGAAAGCAAAATTCTGTTCCCACAAGGAGGAGTTCATTGTTGCAGTATGTGTTTTTTTTTTTATATATATCATTCTTACTAGCTCTTTGTTCAGAGCATGCATTACAACTTTTTGCTTAGTAATTTAGTTGGGATAGATAGTATAATTTATACCTGTGCCGTAAATTTCCAATAAATCTATTTAAATTTTGACAAATAAAAAAATGTGAGCGACTCATAACATTTTCAACTGAATTCAAGCAGGGGCCTTCATCCTGCTCCATGTTTACACAAAGAAGTCCTATCCGACCTGTTTCTCTTTGTCTTATCATTCAAAGTTTGCTCCTCATAACGGACCCATAGATTTTCCTCCCCTCTCCAAATATTTCTGGGAGCAGGCCTCAAAGTTATTCAAAGTTTAGCGAGGTGTCTCTTTAGGTGGGCCACAGCTGACGATAGCATTGTGTGGTCAGGGGTGCCAACAGGTCCAGACCACCCAGCAGCTGCAGCTTGGACGACCTACAGGCCAGGCAGGAAGTAGGAAACAGGAAGTAGAAAGAGGGCCTGCAGTATCCTGTCCATCATGACATCATAATGACTATAAGAATACCTGTACACATGTGTATATAATGTGATGTGTGAGCTACTGTGTCCAAATAATTTCCCTTGTGGATCAATAAAGTGTGTCTAAGTCTAAGTCTATATGTTTGAATGCACTGGCAATATAGAATGTGAGGCAATATTTCTTATGTTATATAGTCTTTTATACAGTTTTTTATGGATTAGTGTTCTTTTACTATTTAAGGTAAATCAAACTTGAAACAAATTGATTTATTATCCACTTATTTTTAACTAAACAACTATATACTTTATTGTATGGTAGTATAGTATTCAAATATAGTATTCAGTATTCTAGCTTGTGTTCAGCTCGAGTTTTATGACTGTTCCATCATTCCAACATTTCAAATCCTCTCATCACAGCAACAGCAAGGACAAAAAAAAACAAAACAAAACAAAATAAAAAAAAAAACATTTCATATCAATATACAGCAGCAACAACCTCACACAAACTCGGAAAAGAAAAAAGGGCATAAACATTCCGCCACACAAACAGCGAGAGAGACAAGAGACTGGGAAACGTGCGCACACACAAACTTAACAAAGAAACCCAGAAAACACAAAGCCCAGCGCAGCCAGAAGTCGACTATGCAGAGATATTCTAAAGTGTGTTTTACAATACAATTAAACATCAAAGAGGGGTATATTCCTCTGTGATCCTCAACACCCCAGCGTACAAGCCCCAAACATCCTCACAGACACACGCACATACAAGAGCTCAACGTCACTGCTAATTACTCGATAGAGACTGAAGAAATCTATTCATCATTATGCAAAAAACAAGACGTATTAAAATGTATGCATTCCATCCAGCGTAACTCCCTCACTGCTTATGTTATTTACTTTAGATCATTACTTTTTAAGATATTGCAGTGGATGTGATGGGACTGGTACAGACAAGAAAATAGGAAAGTGTTGTGATTCCATCAAATAAAAAATTACAATAAAAATGTATATTTGGGACTTAACAAACAAATCTGTTAAAAATGAAGAAAAGTAAACTCTTAAACTTCTGCTGTGTCCAAAGACCTTGATTCTAAACATAGTCTAAATTGCTTGATACACAATAATGTTTCCAGACAGTTTAACTGATTCTATGCGCTCCCTTTTCTAAGAAGTAAATATGATTTTCCAGAATTGACTTTTATATTACCTTCTCGTTTTGAGCCAAAGGGCATGAAGTCCAATTACACTACTTCCAATATCTTACCGGCCCGATCTCGCCAACCTGCAATCTGCAAATGAGCGCTTTACTGATGTTTAACTGTGCAAACTGGGCAAACCCTTCTGAAAATATTTGAGACCATTAGTGGAAAGAAAAAACGCTTGAAAAGAAGGTGCTGGAAAAAATGGGACCGTTTAATTATTTGCTTAGACGTAAATTTTACAGATTTTACATTTTTCAGATGTTTTTACAGATCTGGCAGTGTAGTGTATTGCATGACTTTAGTGAAACTTTAATCCCTTCTCTTTTTTTTCTCTTTACGATCAAGCGTGGAGCCTGAGGCAACTTCTTTTTGTCTTTGCCCTTCTCAGCCCCTTTATAATAGATATTTAAATCACAAATATTAGCCTTCCTCCGTTTCACATGGCTCGATGCGTTTCTTCCCCTCACTTAAGTAAAGCTTCCCTTAGCCCCCTGTGTACAGCAAAGTGCCCTGACAATCGGCTCAGGGCTGGGGCCAATCACAGCCACACGTGCCCTTTAAATCCCCTCTGTAAGAAAGGGTAAGAGTGTTGTCACTGTTGGTTTTGTGAATCAGCCCTATAATCCTAAATGATTTGTCAAGAGGGGCAAAAGTTCTTGAGACAATAGACTATTATATCAGGGAACCAGGGTGTGATATGTATAACGTAAAATGTATTTGAGTTTGCTGCGTGTATGTGTAAGTGTGTGTATGCAGTGGCAGGTCCACATGCGAGGAGCGCTCACCTTCCTCTGAGCGGATTAACCTAACACTAAATCCCAAGAGAGCAACAGGCCAGACAGGCCACAGAACAGCTTCATTGACCATAGGCACAAGGGGAGAGGCCAAGTGTGAAAGCTTTCTTATAAACGCTTAATGAACTACAACTACTTCAGTAGAAAACTAGCTAATTAGTCATTAGGAAATAATGGGGTAAATTCATGTATGCCGTGATAATTAAATACAGTGGGCAACAGTTATTGTCTCCATAGGAAATAAACTTTAAACAGTGCCTATATTAGATGTACCAAAGTGCATTACGCTTTTACAGATTTTCATAGTCTGTCTTTTCGGGCTTTATAAAATGTCAATAATTTAGATAAATTCATATTTTTACATTAGGCTGAGTCCTTATCTATAATGTGTACGCAAGTCAATTCACGTTATGTACAGAACATAGCTTCTCTTGTATTTATAGAAGATTTCAAATTGTTGTATCATTAAATATAAATACATCAAAAATACCCCAATACAGCTTTTAAATTAATATGCTGTACAAATTAGTAGTTATTATGAGATATTTACTTTTTAACGCGTCCATTTATAAACAACATACACAGGTAAACATAAGTTCGCACCACAAGCGCTGTAAATTATAAAGTACTCTGTGGCAGCTTTCCTCTCTTGTTCTGTCTCATTTCACAAGATGATTTTATTTAGTTTAATAAGAAACAATGCAGTGTTGTTTTATTGCTAAGTATGTCACCTTTGAAAGGTGCTAGAGGTTAATTGGTGTCACGATTAATCATCTGCAACAGGTTTAATAAAGAAACATTCCAAATGCAAAAAACTGAAAATTTAAGTCACACTTGATGGTGCTATTGTGTTTTACACATATCATTATGCATATTTTTAGAAGTAAAAAAATATATATTATAAAGTATTAAAACCTTAATTTCTAATTGTATGTTTTGTAAAATATGCTACAACCTCTAATCAGGTTCAAATGAAACAAGTTAAAAAGTTGTGAGAAGCAGAAAAGTTGTAATAAACTGCTTATTCAATTGAAATGTAAATGATTAATTTAAGCATGTTTGCTAATTGTAGATAAAACCAATCTGTTATCTGTACAGGGGCTTCTCAGTAGCAAGTGTCTCATTATTACAAGGTTCTTATATTAGATTATAAGCAAATCCTGGTATCCTAACACTAAAACTACTGAAAGTGAAATGAACTTTTACTTTTGTACTTGGACTTATTTACACAAATCTTGGGCAATTCTAGTCATCAGACATTAGTGCGTTTATAGTTTAGTGCAGTTTTGATATCTCAGAGCACATGATGGAATAGGACGCAGCCTGTCAGTGCTGTGTGCGCCTCATGTAGACACGAGAAAGCCACACAAGGTCGACACGCCACAATAAGGTAAGACAGGAGGCAGACCTTGACTCTCCTAAAAGCCCATAAAGAGCTATTTGATGTCAGCGTGTAATTATATGACATAGCTGTCACGGGCGTAAGTCGATCGGGGTCACAACAAATCAATAGACGCACTTACTGTACTTTGTAGAGGAAGCGGCGCTCCCGAGAATGAACCGTTAAGTTTGTCCGTGAAAAAATACACGTCGCCGCGAGTGTTGGTGAAAAAGTGCGTGCCAAGTGAGTGTACTTACTTCATTTCATGTGAAGAAGACGATGAGGTGAAGGTAAAACAAGAAGTCCGCCCCGTAGTTCGGTCCGGGCGGATGACAGGAACCAAAAGAAGCCGCTGGTTGAAGGGCAGGGAGGACTTCTGGCAGAGACGCACTTAAAATCCAGAAGCGCAACTTATAACAAAACAAGCTTGGCAAAAAGTAAGCTATGGTGTAAGCTAGTTTGTCTGCGTGAAAAGTCTGTCTCTCTTGTTGTGTCGCCGTCTGCCTCTCTCTCTCCTTCTGAGCGCTGAGGTGTGGGTCTAGTGTGGACTGGTCGCCGGTGAGCGCTGCGCAGGGATTCGCTGTGTGCTTCGCTGAAGGTGGTGCTCTTCTAAACTGCCGGACGTCTTGAGCTCGTGGTAATGTTTGTCAGGGGGCTGCTATTCACTGTTCCGCTGCACAGTCCTGATTCCTGACCCACACTGTATGCCTGATCCCCTCTCGTCTCTCCCCCGTGCAAGCAGAAGTAATCGATTTTTTTTTTCTTTTGGCTTCTGTAAAAAGGGGGCGGGCTAACATTTCCCAACTTAATGAAATAGGCACAGCCACTAATGCTTTTATTATCGCTCCAGCTCCGGGTAGAGTGGACTCACAGTTCGGTTCTCAGTAGCAAGCCTAGTATGCCTCTCTGGTCACGTTTAACACAAACTTTTCTTTACTTTTACGCACAGGTTACGCACACATATATATTTTTGATAATACAATAAAACACGAATAAAAGTATTTTTCTTTGCCGTTTTTGTTATTAGTCACTAATTTTCTGAAAGATAAACTTGTTCTGTTACTAATAAAACGAAGACATAAAGCTGCTTATAAAAGTGAGTCAATCAGTTCTGCCAAAACCACAACAATTTGCACTGATTTCTTATGTGTTTTTTCTCGTCTTTACAGGACAAGTGCTATCTGCTTTCCCAATTCCCATTGTCTCCAACCTCCTGCTGCATGCCGCCAATCACTCTCCAAGACTTGACTATCTCCAGATACAGATAAGGACTATACACAGACACAGAGACACCATGCATGGGGGGAAATTACCAGGCCTTTATCCATCCAACCAAATGATTTTCAAAACACCCACTTGACTCTCACTGTGACAAGAACGATTAGAGCAGCAAGTTTGCCACTTCAGATAAGACCCCGGATATCTGAATATTTGGAGATGAGTCCTAGATAGACCTTGTAATATGGCTCTTCTATTATAAATTTCTATTGTATGGATGCTGTATTATTGAGGAAATTTGTCAGATAGATGATGAGAAGTAAATTTCAAAAGACAAAAGTGATAAAAGAAAACTTGTGTCACAAAGAGTAGTTGTCTACAATAGAATGCCTACTGCTAGGCCTCCTTAATATAGGGTTAATTATAGACACATAATTTGAAGATACATTTGATTAAAGGCAAATGTTTGCATCAATGTCAGATTATATTTTTGGTAGAATTACCTTTAAACACATGTAGATGCGATCATACAAGTTAAAACTTTAGGTAAATAAATAGTATTAATTGATGCAAATTTTGAGACATCCTGGAATAAGATATTATCAGTGACTTAAGTCCAGTTGGTTTAGATGAAATATAGTTAAGTAGTGTGTAGTAAATAACTTAATGTAAAATTAGTTTAACTATTTCTCTTTTAATTTGATGAAAATCTGTCTTTTTTGGGTCAATATGAATTTGCAGATACATATACTTTGATGCTAGTGAATATTTCATATTCATTGTTTTTACTGGACTCACTGTACCCCCTGACTCCCCCTACTGATACACTGTTAATAAATTTGCGTTGATGAATAAATCAAGCTGGCTAATCTTCTTGACGGATGCACATTTCAGCCTTGGTAACTCGAGCTGCTGGTGTCTGGTGACTCGGGATACCACCTTCACATCACCTGACCCTTTAATCTTTAATAGCATTTCCTCTGGCCCCTCTGATCTCTATAATAATCGATAGGAGATGTCGTTGGTTTGACACATAGGCCTCGGGATCACAACATGGCAAGTAAGAATAGCATCAGATATCAGCAAAACATGTTCACCTTTAGCGTGGCTTGAAAAGTGTCATTGGCATTGACAGTAGATTTGCACTTACCACTTTCTGTCTTCCTTCTTCAGTCTTGTAGCTTTCCTTGCGTTAGCGAGTTGCGTGAGAGGTCCGTGCAGTGTTAGCGATGTCTTGAGGTTGTCTTGGTTGGCACCTGCAGGAAGTAACACATATAGGAGTATGAGGAGAGGAGAGATGAGTGGAGAACCTGCCAGCAAAATGGTAATTGCTCTGGCATAATGTACATCATGGACTTTTCATCTTTGTATAAGTGTGTGTTAAACAGCCATAGAAAATGCAGGGGGATAAAAACGGGGGGAGGTGGACTGAATATATTTGAATGGTATAAAATCATTAAACGTGCAAAACATAGCCTCATGCATATTCATACATGCATGTCTGACTTGTCTGCAGGGATGGACATAGTGAAGCTATAAGGCAAAGTTGCAATGTAGATGCCTGCCAGGATTAATGTGTAGGTTAAATCTTTGAGTTAACAAATAGAGTGATATGGGATGCTTGTGGGAATAGGTCAAGTCTATTGTGTTGTAATATGTACCACAGTATTGTTACCAGAATCACCTACTGTGAACTAAATGGAATTTCATTACGATTTATATTACATAGTCACTGTCAGGGTTGTGTACTTTTACTTCTTTAATTGATTAATCATTCGAGGGTGTCTTAGTCAACCAAATTGTGTTATTAGTAAATGCATTTTTGAATGAGGATTAAAATAATTTATATGAACAACAGAAAGGAGAGGGCATGCAGCTAGAGTTTGGGAGCAACAGTTTAATCTGCCTTTTCACTGATGAACATGTTTGTGTTTTTTTTTACTCTGTATATACAGTAGTTTTCACCTGAGATCCTAATAATTTTGACAGCTTTTGCTAGTGCTATGCCTTAAAAATTGACATGTGGAGCACATCTGTTGTTGACCAAGTATTTCTTTGGTCAATTACAGGTCTAGACACTAATAAGTTGTTAATTATGTTTTAATAGTTCAAATTGTGGTTAGCACAGGTATTTTTGTATACACACCAGCATAATATAAATGCCTTTATATTATCTAAAATGTCCATAGTGTCGACATAAGCATGGCAGTCTTTCTTGGATTTTTATAGTTTATATTTTCATTGCATTTTCTAAATCTCACCTGCTTAATAAGTTGTTTATTAGGATACTCCAGCTGCACAAGCAATAATATTTTTCTTCAGAATCGTACATGACACAGAAGTGACCATATTTTGATGCAAGCCTAGAATTAATGCTGTGATTAAACAGATTGTCTGCTACACTGATCATGCTCAACCTGTCATCACAGTCCCTTCACAGCATGTGTCACACCAGAGCCCAAATGTTTTAAAGAAGGCAGTCCTCCTCTCCAGTAACTAATAAACACAAACACATTTCTTTGGCAAAAAGGGCTGGGTGCAATCTGTCGTCAATCATGTGGAAAACCGTCTGCCTGTCACTGTACATGATGTTGTCAGGCCCTGCACTACTACTCTTGAGAATTATCCAACGATTATAGCATCTCTTTGCAGTCTGTTCCTTCATTCCTTCACTCACTCCCTTGTTTTTGTCCCTTTTCCCGAATGATTTGGTGAAGGATTCGCAGATGTGACAGTGGATTGATGTTACATGATGTGATTACCAAAGTCTTCACAGGGGGCAGCGTCAGGGCCACGGGCCAATTAGAGTCACACGCCCAGCTGGAGTCTATGGATCTTTGTTCTGCACTTGTGTATCCAGCAAACCGAGACACGCTAATGGGGAAATTAAACCACATTTTTATATGATTTGAACATGGTTGGTTAACGGTTTTTATGAGCTACCGGCAATACATATCCATGCCTTTTGTGATTTTAATCAGAAATGTTAAAAGTGCAAGGGTCCACCACCTGTTTCTCTATAGAGCTGTCTTTGCTTTGTCTGAAATGTTTTACAGTATGGCATTAAACTTTTTTTATCATTGAGACCAAACAAGGCGAAGTTACTGGTCAGACCTATGGAGAGGTGACCTCGATCACTGTCAGAATGCCTGTTTTTTGAGCGATAAAACCACCTGTAATTGAATACATGTAAAGCTAGATGTTTAATGTAATGCAGTGCTGTGGAACATTTGAAGCAGAGCAATGACATATCCATAGAAACAAAAGAGTGACGGACCTCCAACTGAAAAGTTACATAATGCACCTTTAAGTAAGTAAGCGCTGATATAGAATAACAAATGAATAAATAAATGAATAAAGACCATTTAGATGTGAAATAACTTTTTGTATATCTTTTATGTTCTAAAGACAGTGATAACAAGTACTCATGTTGAGGTCGACCCAGACGTACACTTTCCTTGTGAAACATTGGTGTTATCAAATTCTGTTCTCACTATACTGGAGAGACGCAAGACATTTTCCAGCAGAGTGGCATTTGGTCTTTGCATAAGTCATGTGGTGTGTTATATTACTCACAATTGGAGCTCCTTATTAATAAGGTTCCTAATGAAACTCAGAGGGCAATATCATGTGTAATTACAGTTGCAGGGATTGTTCCAGTGTACAGTATAATTGGGGGAGCAAAGGTGGGAAATCACTTTTAATTAACTCTTATGTACTCATATTGCAAAATGTAAAAAACAAAGAATTTTCGACGATCCTCCAGAGATTCTTATTTGTGCTTTGAAATGAGCTTTTCTAGTATTTCCCTGTATCTCTGAGCTTACATTCTTTATTAGTCTATGTGGAGCAAACTTGAGTGTTGTACTCTTGTTTTTGTAAATAAAATCAAATTGATTTACCCCAGAAATTCCACAAGCTGATAAACAGTCACAATCCAGTGCCCGTTTGTGCCAGTCTAAACTCCCACGCCCAAATAAACAGTCAAGGCACCCCGTGTGACACTGACTCTGTTTTGTGCATGTTTGGAAAATGTTTACACCTATTTCAAGTTTTAAGACCTTTCCCAAAGTTGACTAAATCTTCTGGTTGTCAAAATGTTGTTCCCAGCCTAATAACCCCTCTCTCATGTCAGGAAGAGAGTGCTGGTGATTTGCATGTGTTGTGTTTAACCAACAGGCTTCTGTCATACACCTTTGCTGAATAATTCATAAGGCACAAGCTGAACAACAAGCTGTGCCTTTGTGCTGCCTGGTGCTCCCGTTACATCACACAGGAGCTGCTCTTTGGTCCTGCCTGCTCTGTGAGAACACGGTGTCTGCCTCTGCACCATCACACCTGTTGAACTTCATGGGACATCACTATTAGGCTTTGACGTGGAAAGGGGGAAGAGGATAGTGCAGATGCTGGTGGCACGCATAGCACACAATGTAGTCATGATTAGTGATAGTTTGTTTACTGTATTATTTATTAGCAATTTAGGGGTAGTTGCCCCCCACAAATTATTTATGACTATAAATATTTCAT